AAATGATTGTGCTGTAGTTTATAAAATGAGGGTTTGGTGGGATGTGGGGGTAGGTTTTGGGTTTAGTTTGTTCCTTTTTTACAGTTCATTATTACAATCATTATTTGTTCCATTTATCCTAGGAAGTGACGATGGATTTTCTTGAATGCATCGTATGTAGAGTTTTAATCATTAAATTGTTGATTATGCCCTGAAACTGCTTGCAGTCTGAAAAAAATATGATTAAAAAACTAAACATATGTTAAGCTAGCTTCATTAACTGTACACAAATTTATATTTATTTATTCCTATTTTTATTTTATTTATTCATTGTTCTGTCATTTATTTTCAGTCTAAAAGTATTCACTTATTTTTAAGTCCAAAGAGAAATGGACTGTTGTTTATTAATTATTTTTTGTGCTGTATTATTTAGTTATCGAGCAGCAATAAATAACACTTTAATTAGGAGTTTTTATGTGATTTACTACACTAGTAGTGTTATGAAACCCTAATAATGAATGAATAATAATCTTGATAACTGTGAAATTGTGATTATTCCTCAGACTGTAATCGTACAACCAAAATCTATAATTGTTGCATCCCTAACCCTCACCCCCCTTGAAAGTTCTCAATATAGCGCCACACTTAAACACTGCTGATTTGCTATTGTGTTCAAATGCTCAACAGAAATGACAGTGATATATATATATATAATAATATATATATATATATATTTTTTTTTTACATATAAATTTATTTTATATATTTAAAAGAGTACCCCAACAATGACTGAGATCACAATAATTAGAGGGTCTATTGAATGGCACAATATCTTTTCGACCGATAAATTTTTGGTGGACGAAAATTGGGTACATTTCTAATATCAGCCCACTTTTAAATTCTCATTGTTGCACATTTCTGCTGTGTGATTGGCAATTAAATCAATATAGAGTAAAAAAGTCCTGAGCTTATTATTGTTATTGGTATAAATTTTATCACGATTCATTTAAAATACCGTTTATTGGCCCAGCCCTACTATGAAGGTCATCAGTTCACCAAACTTACCACTGTATACTGAATGTAACCACAGATACATCGAAGGTGGAGCGTTTTAAAGCTATGAAGATCAGTCGATTCATCAACGGATGGCAAATCAGCGGTGTTTAAGAACGTGCTCAAATGTTAGTGGGAAATGGATGTTTTTAAAATTTCAGTACCTATTGGTATTGAATTCCAGTATCGTGACAACACTACTCTATATTGTTACGTTTTACTAGTTTCTACTCTCTGTTGATCACACAGATTTTCCTGTGAAATACCTCCCTTGTCCAATTACACCTATTTTAAGAATTTTAGGGGATAGTCTGAGAGTGGGCCTATTCTGATCTTTCAAAGTTCTTGAAAATTACATTTGAACATGAAAGACAACTGAAATAGAGGAGCAGAGCAGCAGTTGTGGTTTCTGCTTTGATGACCACAGATACACAGAATGCTGTGGGTTTGTGTTAGAAGTTCTTGACTGTGTTCAGTACAGTTCTTGACTGCAACTGAAAGTGGTAAAGCTCAAAGTTTTTCACCTTTAGCAGTGTTTAGCATCAACCATTTTTTTTTTCATTTAATATTATCCCACGACTCTAGTCTATATACAATAACGGAAGTTGAAAATACTTCAATATTAAAATTTAAATGTCCATCTTAATAAATGAGTCTGAGACAAAACGCAAGTCTTAGTCACCACAGAGAAAATGCTCTCTGACCTCAATTGCCATAGAGGAAAGATGTCATTTACAGTACCCCTGCCAGCCTTTCACTTATTGCTTTTGTCTTGCATTTACTCTTCCTCCCTTACATAGAGATGTCTATAACCGTCTCCCATTCTTTCTGAATGCACTGGTGCCTTTACCATAAGGGTTAAAGGCATTGCCTGAAGATGGGATTAGTAAGAGATGACACTACACCACACACTGTCGCCTCATCCTCCCTTTTGTGCCAATCCACCAATCCCTGCGCCATTCCCCAGATTAGGATTATCGTCTGTGAGTGGTGCTTTTAATGAGCTATAATTGATTTGTAAGCACAGATCCACTAGACTGTGTCAGGGAGATTAAATGAAGCTTGTTTCAAGCCCTGGGTCCCCTCCCACCCCTAAGCAAATGATCCTGGTTGTGGGACAGAATTCCCAGCAGGGGCGAGGTGGTTTTCGAGACTGATCTTACAGAGTTCTTGCCGTCCTGCTGAGGGTTTTGCCTCCTTCCCCTTGGACAAGGCTTATGTCTGGGAAGTCAGCCATGTTGGAACCAAGTGCAGGCTTTATTCAACTGAACATATTTTAGTGGAACGGAGGGGAGAGTGAGACAAGCTGGTAGTGTTTGCTCTCCAACAGATGTACATAGGGTCCAAAATTAACTTTTTGCCACACCTGCCAATGACGAGTGCGTTGAGGAAATTTACTGGCTTGTCTGGCTATAAATTTTTCTTACTAGCTTCGCTTAGAAACCACTGAATTCTTCTGTTCTTTAAAATGTACTTTCACAACAACTACTACAAATATTATTGTAATTATCATTATATTAAATATTATTATTATATTAAATAATATAGTTATTATTGTTATCACTGTAAACTGAAAATTCATTTATGAAAGTTGTAAAGCACAGCATTTGTTTGAAATTTTGTAATATCATATGTTTATTAATGTCATTTTTCAATCAGTTTAACGATTAATCACTTTAATGTAACGTTATACATTTATTACTGTCATTTTTTAGTCGGTTTAACATAATATACGTTTATTATATATAATATACGTCATTTTTCTATCACTTTAACGATCAATCAGATTAACGTAATATCATACGTTATTACTGTAATTTTTCAATCAGTTTAACGTAAACCATGCGTTTATTACTGTTTTTAAAAATCAGTTTAATGATCAATCAGTTTAATGTAATGTTATACATTTATTACTGTAATTTTTTATTAGTTTAACTCTCAATCAGATTAACGTAATATCATACGTTATTACTGTCATTTTTTAATCAGTTTAACGTAATACCATGCGTTTATTACTGTAATTTTTAAAATCAGTTTAACGATCAATCAGTTTAACGTAACGTTATACGTTTATTCACACCAAAGCACATTAAAAGGCAAATGAATTATAACAGCGCAGAACTTTTCTGTAACCGTAGTAGTGCTGTTCCTTATTTGTTTAACCCTTCAAGGTGACGTGCTGACAGACTGACTAACTGACTGACAGGTGCGTGATGCGTGAGGCCAGCAAACACGACATAGCTTTCATTTACGATGAACACCATGGTTTCCGCTACATTCATTCTTCCATGGCGGGGCGCCACACCAAAATGCATCCCGCCATGGCTACGTTACAGCTTCTCATTCAAAACATTCAGTCTTTGTTGTTGTTTTTATTAGCAAATTATAATTGCACTAAAACTTATTAAAAGAAAAGTAAATTTTAAGAGTGCAAACCTTTCTGTAAACGTAGTAGTGCTGTGCGCTATTTGTTTTATTCTTTGAAGTTGTGAGTTGTGGTTCTGCATACAATGACTTTATCTTATTGGAGTTTATTGCCGTTTCACTTTACTTCAGGACGCATTAATGCTGCTCATTAGGTCTATTGGAGACATTCATAAATATTCCTAGCAAATCTAATAAATGTTGGAGACATACTTGTTACATAAATGACAGGAGTCAGGAGTTACATCATTGGATTTTTTCCAGCTGTGGCGGCAGGCCTTTTTTTACACAGATCTACATGTGGCGTTATTTTAATGACAAATGTCATGAGCACAGTATTAGAAGTCGAGATCGCATTTATGTAATGGCCTACAGCATGCGGATCTCTTTGCACGCCGATTTCCTCTGCTCGTGCACAAAACTTTTTGCACGCCCCCTCAAATATAAGCCGCTTCAAGAGCAGATCTTGCGCGCTCTCAAATAAATTCTGCCGAAGTGCGATTTGGTGCGTTTATGTAACGAGTAAGTCTCCAGCATTTATTAGAATTGCTAGGAATATTTATGAATGTCTCCCTGATAAACCTACAGAGCGATATTAATGCATCCTGAAGTAAAGTGAAATGGCTATACATCGTGTTTGCTGGCCTTAAGCGCCTGTCAGTCAACCAGATCTTCAGTCAGCACGTAACCTTAAAGGGTTAAACAAATGACGCACAGCACTACTAAGGTTACACTTACACTTTAATACGTTTTGGTGCGAGTATTACGCGCTATTAAAAAAATTAAATGTTTTGAATGAGAAGATGTAATGTAGCCGTGGCCGGCTGAATTTTGGCGTGGCGCCCTGCCATGGAAGAATGAAAGTAGCGGAAACCATGTGTTTATTTACTTGAGTAAATGTGTGTAAATCTGTATTTATTCAGTTTTTTTTTAATTAATTAAAGTAATTTTATTGACTAATATGGAAATGTTTATCAGATTTATGTACAATGCAGTTTGTACAGTCATAATTTTCTGTCTTTTAGTAGAGTTATTATATAAAGTATATAAATATTATATAACTTGCTTTGTTTACTGAATAAAGTGAATCTAATTGGATTTGCATTTTAAACATTAAATAAAAGTTAAAAAGGCATTACTTTTTATTTCATATTTTAGGGTTTTAGTTATGATACTTCCAAAATCATTTTGCAGAAATTTGAAGATTTTTACCAAAATTCTCAGCAGAAATGTCAAAAAACGTCTGCAGATTCTGTCTGGCCATCGGCGATGTACGATGACATCGTCTATCGGCCCAACCCTAATGACAATGGTATTTCTTTGTGTGTTAGTTACAAAAACACAACTTAATTGTGTCACTTGGAGTATCATGTATTCATTAAAAATGCATTTTCATAATGTCAAGACCAATGTTTGATTTTGTAACCTGATCCGAAACAAGTTTGTGCAAATTAGTACAGAGCACCCAACCAGATAAACAAACTTAACATATTGTGAAGCGTCTGTTCAGGGTCACTCCTCATGTCTCGCTTTTTGTTTTTCAGACACTTGACTCCTGTCATTGGACCAGCTGGCATTGGACGAGGTGTCGGACCCTCCCCCTGCATGGCAGCAAAATGACACAATAGCTGGGGGTGTTCAATATCATCCCTCCCCCCCTCTCTTTGTTTCCCCCTCCTACATATTCAAGATACTCAGATACATATTGACTATCTTACACCAACACGTTATAAAACAATACCCTGGGATACCTCTGTGGCCCCACACTTTGTAGGGGCCATGAGACTTTTCCAGGACTGCTGCTGCTAAGGACTATCTGGGAACAAAACAATCCGTTTCCTTCCAGCGACTGGACACATCCTCCCAGTTCCAACGTCTAGAGCTAGACGGAAGCTCGGTTGATCATTAAGTCATGAAAACACCAGAGGACCATTGGGAGTTTCCATTCAGAGTTGAATATTAACAGGCTGAAAGACTGCAAAGTTAAATCAAACTGCAGCACATATCTGAAAATATCTTTTAGAAAAACGATACCTCTCCTTAGCAGATTCATCCACATCTGAAGTGCCTTGTGCTTCATCAAACTTGTTTACATCTATTCCACATATCTAATCCGTTCGCCAATCCTTGAAAATAGACCTATTGTTTACATCTCTACGCCTTACAGCTTTTCAAACCATATCTTTTCCATTGGTGTCTTCTGTTTGGGTGCATAAGAGTCGCTGTCTCGTATATCAGAGATACAAGGAATGAGATCACCAATAGAGTTCAGTTCCTCAAATTCATCCAAACTTAAATCACTCTCATTTGACTCTCAGTGGTGCACTACTAGCTTGAGTGTCATCATGTTCACGCTGCAAACCAAATGGCGTTACTTGATCATGTTTTTAGGCGTCCAGTTAGTGGTCATGGCTCTTCTGTCAAGAGAAGGCTATCAGAAAAGAGTGTCGTATTTTTTCCGGATATTCCGAAAGCCGGATTCTTCGGCAGGAAGCATGATTGGGGGACGCAACCATACAGATGTCTACGCCAACCTTTCCCGGTTAGGCCCTCCTATTAATAGAGATGACATGCCCTACTGCCCCAAGCAATCTCCACACCTAGGTGAGTTTGATAGGAAGAGTGCTATCAAATTTCTGATCTCTCCCTGTTTTTATTGTCTATGTGAATGCATCAGTATCAGTTTGTTACTACTTGGGTAAAAAAAAGATGTCTGGGAACTTCTCACAGAGATGGCCTAGATGCATATATTCTCAAGATTAAAAAATGAATCATAACTTTTTATTTAGGGAAACACGAAAATTATCATCAGCCAAAAGCGATGCGTTTAAAAATGGTCAACTTTTAAAAAGTTTCAGAAAAAAAGAGGCGATGCTGTGCCTCATAATGGTTTTACTATTTTACTATACATCCCACCGTAGTCACTAGCTATGTTTCCATCCAAAAATGCTAATTAAATTAATGCGCAAATATTGCATAAAATATTGCATAAAAATATATCGCTTAAAAGACGTGCGAATAAAGCACCGTTTCCGTCCAACGAGTCAAAGTGAACCAAATGGTCACTTCCTGATGAACTGGCACCAAATATATATAAAAAAAATCATAATTTGCTGCGGTAAGAGCAACTGCGTGAACATTTTCTTTATTTATTAAATGATGTGCGCTTCGGAAAACAGTATGATGACACGCAATAAACATGTGGTGGTGTTTGAAGCCTAAGGCGCGGAGCACAGACGCTCTTGACTATTCTGGAGGTAATTAATAATATAATAAAACAAATGCTGAAATGGTTATGGTGTTTTCGAATGAACAAAACAACATTTCAGAAGCTTTACAATGTGCTCAGTGACTTTATCCATTTACACACATTTTTATCATCACATGATCTCTTATAACAAAATCACATGACTTTTTTTTAATGCACATAATGGAATTTGTTCAGTACAAGGGTTTCCATCATAGTTTATGGACTTTTATCGATCAAAAAGGTTTCTCTTACTCAGTTGATGCACATCTTGACGTTTCCGTCAACCATTTATTTATGCGCATATTCAAAAAAGGTGGGTGCAAACATAGCTAATGCAAGGTCTGAACCACACATGCTCACCAGAAAAGCAAAGTTTGCTCCAATAACCCACAGATTGGTCATTTCTATGTTGTGTGCTTTTTTGCTGCTTTCTATAGCACTATTGTGTTGTCATGGCAATGCTGCTAAAATAACGACTAAAATTACTAAATAAAAATTAGCTGTAATTAAATGTGGTTTCATTATTGGCTTTTTTGTAATTTAGGTGTTTAATAGTTAATTGGTTAGATTGAAAAAAAAATACAAAATTACTTTATTTAACAAAATATTTACAACCAAGTGCATCTCGAATTTACGTCATTGCTGTGTTCGCAGAGATTCAGTTTGGGTAAGCGCAACATGTTTCCGGCTGGCAGAGTGCATTTTTTGAGACCCAAGCAAACATTTTACTCGGTGCGGCATTTGATTTGAGTTAAATAAGAAACACTTTGCAGTCATCCCTGTTACAGACAGACTTTTCACAGACATCTTTATGATCCGTCCATCCAAAAGTGGGGACCCGGGTGGTTTTAATATTACAGAATATGTTTTTCCGCCATTCCTAGCTTTTACACTGATTTATATATTACAATTTTGAAGTAACAAATTATTTTCTTAATAACTAGAAAAGAATATTTGAACCTATCAGTTTACAATATGCTGATGCCCTGTTTTTCTGGGCTTAATTGGTGATAATAGTTTATTCTTTCCATTATAAAAAGTATGTTTGTAGAGCAACTCGGGTTCTATTGTCATTAAAATGTTAATAAACTTTAATTGGTCGAACTGCCTGAAATATGAACAAAAGCAAGTGATGCATCAAAGTTTGATTAAAAAAATCCTGAATGGTCATAAAAATCCTTATAATCATTCAAATTATTGAAAAAAATTATAAAAAATAATGACAATATTAGTGATATGATGTAGTACTGTAAACTTCCTACTTCTATGTTTATCCATCTGACTTTACGGTCAGTTTCTTTTGACCATCCCCCCTGTCGTTTAAAAGAATATCACAACGGTGAATGCATCAAGTATAAAAGCCTCATCCGTTTGGTGTGGCATTAGGTGAAAGTATAAATCAGCTTTAAGATATGAGTGATGATTTGAAAATAGAATCAAGTCACCATGCATGATCTGACTTCCCACATTGCAAGAGAGTCATCAACTCAAAAATTCTGCTTTATTCTTATTTCTTAGTTGGACCAATTCATGTCACTTTCCCTTCCGGGCTCACACTTGCCGATGTGGAGAGGAAGAACCCACTTGTTGTCCGTGGAGGTCGCTATAGGCCGCCCAACTGTGAGGCTCGCCACCGCACCGCAATAATCATTCCTCACAGAAGCCGGGAGCACCATCTCAAGTTCCTCCTCTACTATCTGCACCCCTTCCTACAGCGCCAGCAGCTCAACTATGGCATCTATATCATTCACCAGGTGCGTCTGCAGCCTCTTGTTGCTTAGTGATGCAGAAAGTATTTCGTAAATGTATGGTCAGTAGGTTATTGTGTGTCTTTCTCGTCTGACACTGAAATGACAGCAAGGTCCAATCTTAATTCTACACCTTAGTCCTTCCTCTTACCCCTTGTCCCAATTCTCTTTAGCTTGAAGTTGTAGGGCTAAGGGGAAGGTTTAGATGGCTTTTAAAACTTTCCAGGACCACACTCTAAACCAAGGGGTATGAAAGTTTCCCAGAATACACCATCTACAATGACAGCATGACTGCACATGCGAGTCAGGAGATGCACAAATTAGTATTTTTTTTGGCATTATTAAGAATTTTTACAACAAACAAGCACATGTTTGTCATAACAATGTTTGTGTTTTGCGATCATGCTTAAAAAAATGCTACATTTTGCTATATATAATCCTTAATAATAACAACTCCTGTATAGTAGTCCCACGACATTCTTTCACAATCACATCTGTCACTCAAATACCATGTCAGAATTGTCTAGTGGCTGGGAGTTAACTTTTTACAGTGTCTGATGTAGCATTAATGTTGTTTTCTTGTTACATGAATATGGCCACCTTCTAAATAGTACTAGGGCTTGCGATTTGGGGAAAATGTCTAATTGCGAAATGTTATTTATTTATTAAATTTTTTTTCACAGAAATTGTGATTTGCGATTTTTTTTTTTTTTTTTTTTTATTTTATTTTTTTTTTTTTTGTAGTCAAACTTCAGCTCAATATTCTGTATCGTAGAATATGGTATTCTTCTTACTGCTAAAATGCAGTAAGTGTTAGTTAAAAAAAGGAACTGAAAATATATTAACTAGATTTAATTCAAACTTGTTTATAAATATTCAGAAATGAAACACTAATTTTTCTCTAGTGCAAACAGTAGTGAGTTGTGGCGTTAGCTATAGCCTGGTGCCTTCGTAATGTTTTTTCATATGGGGAAGGAGTAGGGCTACAAAAATAGAATTGGGATTGGGCCCAATGTTGCATTTGTAACTCTCTTATTTAATAAAATTGCCTTTTAATTACATTTTTTTACTCTGGTCTTTTAAAATGTGGATGACTTTTGTTTCAGTAAATAAAGAAGAGATTTAGATAAAATAGTGTTTTTGGTGATTCGTATATCTTAAGTCATTTGTAGTAAAAAAATAAGTTAGGAATTCTATTTAATATGTTGCTTTCAACAATATATTGAAGTTTGTTTAAGGTTACTGAATGTAATTTATAATATTGTTACTTTTAATTCAATGCCTACGAGTTACATATGGTTTGCAAATCATTGTTTTGAACTATTGTTTTAAACTCTGTGGTAAAATTGAAGTTTGTGGCATTGTCAGGTGGATTTATATAATAGCGTATACATGGCATCATTTTGTGATTATGTAAACAAACTGACGAGTCAGTTCTTTGAATTGTGTGAAAGAGCCAGTTCATAGAAAAGGATCAGATTAGCTTGAGGCTTTGGATTACAGGTAATAATAAGGTTGTATATATTGTTCAGGTTTTGGCTTGGGTTGATCGTTTCACTTCAAAAGACCTTAATTTATTGTTGGAAGCAACAGGTACTAATTTAGTTTAGCTTTTTTTTATTCTCAGAGTAAGCATTGACTTGCATTTAATTAATCACCAATGAATGCTGTTTCATCTAAATGTGTAGGAAAAATGAGAACACAAATCAGGAAACTTAACAAGTAGAATTCTTTGAGATGTGTTGGTTGTTCTGCAGTCATAAAGCATCTTCAAGAATTCTGCGGGTCTGCAAGACACTACAAGAGTAGTTTAAAATGAGTATCACAAGTCTGAAACAAGTCTATAATGAATCTGATCTGAGACAGAGCTGTCCTGTCTGCATTGTTTTTTGGAGGTGCAGTGTATAATGAACGGGTTTTAGTTTAAAATCTTGTTTTAGGGTCTTAAATAGATTCTGGGTTTTCACCTGCCCAGACCAGCTTAAAAGTATCACCCAAAGACAAAGGCACAGTCGTTATGACCCTGCCTTTAGTATTTGCATCACTTTGGCTCAGCCAGTGCTCCGCTCTAGCACCCTAGCTAGAATTTTGAATAAAATGAGATAATTAAATAATAAATGTATAAATCACTGTTAATTTAAAACTAGATTATATAAATTTATATTCTCACATGTTATTTTAATGAAACACTCCACTTTTTAAAAATGGGCTCATTTTGCAACTCTCCTACAGATAAAATTGAGTTTTACCATTTTTGAATAGATTCAGGCAATTATTGGGAGCATTTTAGCTTAGCTTAGCTTAGCATAAATCATTGAATCTGATTAGACCATTAGCTTCACGGTCAGTTTCAAAGAAAAGAAAAGAATGTGTAATTTTCCTATTTAAAGCTTGACTCTTCTGTAGTTACATTATATACTAGAGCTGATGGACAATGAAAAGTTTTCTAGGTAACTAGGCAACATTGCTGCTTAACGTATTCATAAAGGCTAAAATTCAACAGTTTACATACAGCAATTCTCATCCATGCATTAGTTACTTCACGTCTTGACTACTGTAATGCATTTCTCACCAAGCTTCTTTCTAAACTTCTCTGTAAATGCCAGCTGGTTCAGAACCATGCAGCTTGTGTCATTTGTATTTTCTTCATAAGCATGTCACACCACCTCTTAATCAGCGTCACTGGCTTCCAGTAAAGTATTGTATTGACTTTAAAATATTACTTGATATCAAGGCACTTTACAATCTTGCTCCCTGGTGTCACCTTTTAGCGCTATGGCTCCTCGGCTATAGATATCGCTTCGCCTGGACCTAAGGAGCAGTGATAGTCTTCACACTTAAATTTCGTCTTTAGACCCATCTTTTTTAGCAGGCTTTCCCATGACTATCCTTTACCATGTTGTTGTATACTTCAATGTTTTCGTACTTTAGTTCATCTCATGTATTTTAAAATTTGGCTGGCATTGTTATTATTTTTCTATTAATTGTTTTATTAATTTGTCCTGGCCATTTACTAAAAGAATCCTTATTATTATTATTATTATTATTAGTCTGACTTGGGTCTGGCCAAAATTTTACTTTGATACATCCTCACGACATCGCCTCACAGCAAGGTCACTGGTTCGAGCCTCGGCTGGCTCAGTTGGTGTTTCTGTGTGGAGTTTGCATGTTCTCCCTGCGTTCGCGTGGGTTTCCTCTGGGTGCTCCGATTTCCCCCACAGTCCAAAGACATGCGGCACAGGTGAATAGGGTAAACTTAATTGTCCCTAGTGTATGAGTGTGTGTGTGTGTGTGTGTGTGTGTGTGTGTGTTTTCTAGAGATGGGTTGCGGCTGGCTGAAAGGGCATCCGCTGCGTAAAAACGTGCTGGATAAGTTGGTGGTTCATGCCGCTGTGGCGACCTCAAATTAATAAAGGGATTAAGCCGAAAAGAAAATGAACGAATGAACATCCCGCACGACCATCTCACCATCAAGATTATGATTACCGTAAAGTTTTTTTTAAAATTTTAAATATAAAAACTTTTTAGGGTTAGGCATTGATGTTTACCTATGGGCAACATAACTTATAATCCATAAACTGGACAATACAGAGGAAACGAAAAAAAAACCCCACATAGAACAGGTCAAGCTCAACTGTTAAACTCTTATAAAATGAGCCTGGTTTAAGAAAAAGGGAGTGATCTTTTAATGTTTAACTGAGTGGAAAAAGCCACCAACCTCTTGGATTGCCTGAGGATGAATACATTTCCACTGTAATTTTTGCCTTTACAACAATTTCTTTAAAACCACTATGTATAAGATTTAGAAACTCCAGTTATCATTGACATCAGTGGCTATTAGTTAACTTCAGCAAAAACTTTTCTTAACATAGATTCACCATGCATTAACCATACTTTCATCGTGTATCGCAGTGCTGCATTATGTTTAGTTAGGACACAGTGCGTACACCAGAGATGCCCAAACTAGGGTCAGTGGTAATCTTTGATTTGGCCCACTGTCCCATCTAAGAAGAGAAGGAGAATGACAGGTATTTATTTACATAGATTTAACAGATATTGTTATTTCTGATTAAACTCATCCAAATCTTTATTTAACTTATAGATAAACATAATTTAACTTTATATTTAGCTTAATAATTTGTTTGTATTATAGTTAAGTTAAAAAAAAAACGAACTGAAATTAAACATTTCAATTAGATGTTGTTGAGTACGTAAATATAAATGAATCCGATTTTTTTTTATTTTTATGTAAATAGTGTCACTTGACGGATAGATGACAATGCACAAGACCTCAACAACTTGACTAGTGTAAACAGTATTAAACTTCATTGTGCAATAAAATGAATTATTTGCTTTTATTGTAATAAATTCATTATAAGATGTTAAAAGATGTAATTCATTAGGTAATACGATTAAAGTAATTTTTGCTATTTACTTCTGAATATTATGAAGTACATCAGAAAATTACCAATGGCAACTTTAAATAAATAAATTGCTTTATTTACCTTCGGCCCACAGCCCTCAATCAAAATTGGTTTTTGGCTCTTCTTAAAAAAATGTTTGGGCATTTACATGGACTCGAACAAACCAATTTTAATGCGATTAAGACAATACTCTGATTAAGAGTCTGCCATGTAAACAGCTATTTTTGATTAATTTAATCTGATTAAAGTCATAATCGAACTAAACAGAAATGGAATTAAGACATGTGAAGTATGCCGATTTTAGTCTCATAATTGAAGTGCAGTACAGACATGTAAAAACCGCAATCAAACTATTATCGTTGTGTAGGACTTGTGCTGCATTTTGCGACTGGATTTTCCACACACACAGACGGATGTTTGTCACTATTCTCTCCACCTACTGAGTCAGTAAAGGACCACAGACACCTGCATTGCGAATTGCAGAGGCCCCCCCATATGCCGTGCGGTATCAAATTCCATTTAAAGCAACACTCTTCTATTAGTTCATACTCTCATTCAATATCTCATTTGTCATGGGGCATGAATGATATGTTCTTTAATGAAAGTGAAAGTGCCAAACTCCAGTTAAATTGACAAATTAAAAATGAAAATCCTGAAATTACTTCAAACTTTGGAGGAAATGTGGATAGCACGGTGACACAATGACTTTAATCGAATTATGGGCTGTAACATGTCAGACAGGATTATAAAAGTAATATTCAAAACGCAACTCATTTAAACATCTTAATCATATTATTGTTGTACTCAGATTAAAGCAAATACTTTGATTACTGATGTCCATGTAAACATAGTCACTGTCAACATACTTTCATGCTTTCATAGACAGTGCTCTATTTTAGTTTTGTTGTAAGTTGATCACACATTGGGAATAAAAATGGTTTAACAAATGCAGATATAGCCTTTATCAGTCTTGCGATTTTCATTGCCAAATAGTTACCAATGGTTACATTTAATCCTTATTTGGTTTCAAAAACAACAAAAATTATAGCCCACAGTCAGTGCAAACCTCTCATCTGTTTCTTTAATCTTTACCAGCACATGTAACCTCTGTTAAAAAGGTAATGCCTTCATTTCGAGTTCATAATAGTGTAAAAGTGGATGATAATAGTTAAACACGGCAGCTTGTTCATGTTTTAGGTTGCTGAAAGAATCATTTACTCCTTTATTTTTTTTTCAGCTTTTTCCTTCATTTTTTTGCACATCACTCTCGCGTTTGTCCGTTTCTGAAAGGATTGGATGTCAGAAGCACTTTAATAATCACACGCACGTTATTATCATTAGCTCAAGAAGTTTGTTATTTTAAATATAGACCCTTGGCGAGTGCACTTGAGCTCTCTGGAGAAAGTAAAACCACTTTTAGACAGCAGATTTTGTTCTTGGATTTGTGGCTGTTCATCAAGATGACAACAAGTTTTGTTTGAACTTGGGTGGATCATGGCTTGTTGTTTTTTATATATATATATATATATATATATATGTATATGTGTGTGTGTGTGTATGTGTATATATATATATATATATATATATATATTTATATATATATATATATATTTATATATTTATTTATTTATTTTATTATTTTATTTTATTTTTTAATGGTGTAATGGAATGTGGATGTACCGAGTCGAACAGTACCATACTGCTCGGTGGAAATGGGCAAAAAAGAACCGAAGATTATCACACTCTTTTTAAAAAAAAAATCATCTTTGTGATTTCACTCGCATCAACAAAGACTTATTAATCTGACTTTAATCCTAATTTCAACCATGCATTATTTTATATTTGGTTGCCAAAACAGTTTTTTTTTATTCTCAGTTGGCACACGTGGAGTGTTCATTTTAGACCTCCAGATTCACATTTTGCACAAGGATGCATTTGTTGCTTGGTTACCTGTGGAATATGCAGCTGTATCATAATTCAACTCAGCTGTGCTTCCTGCTGTTTCCGGTGCGAGCCTATTGTAATCGCTTTATCCTGTTACAGCATTCAATCTCAAAGCAAACCTGCACAACTTACTCTGACAGGTCAATCACTGGTCATCTTCTGCTCTGTTTTCTGGATGATCTCTCATTTTTTCAATGCAAATGATCCTAATATAACCGTGTGCCAAATTCAGACAGGCTTTGTTATTATTGTTTCCTAGGTTAATACAGTTTTAGGTAGGATTATAGATGTACGGCATTACATTTTGAGTTTTGAATTGTTTTTGCTTGTGACCTGAGAAGCTCAATGAGATTGAAATCCTGTTTGTGCCAGATGAGTTTACAGTATATGGGCTTTTACTTGATCACAGGATATGTTAAGGAGTTATTATTCTTACATAAATGTAAACGCAATGGTCAAAGATGGCAAGAAATGGTTTTAAGCATCAAAAGATTTATACACGTTTACTTAAAAATATTTGTTGCAATCATAATGGGACTTAATTGGCCTTTTCCGCACAAAAGTTATTTGAAACTTTTAAAGGAGACAATACTAGCCTTTTAATGCTTTTTATGTTTATAAAATAGTTTTTTGTCAATTTTAGACACTAAAATCTTGCGCTTAACCTAATTTTTTAACCTAGTTTTCTTTGTTACTTTCTTGTTTATTTTAACATAGTCTAATGTAATTTTGTTATTTTAACAACTAGTTAATGTTATAGGCTTTATGTCTGTTTCGTTTTAAGTTTAGTTTATTTGAATTTTTTGGTATTTTTTGAAAGTGCAGTATGCTACACTGTAAAGGTCCATCTATTAGTCCTATGACCCAACTAACAGTATGGGTGATGGTTAAATAGGTGTAAGACTTTTTAGCCCATGTGAAAATATATATTTTTATTTGTTAATTTATTTTTGTTTGTTTCCAGCTCCAAATTTAATCTGACTCCAATACATAATAATTAAAAATTAGATTCATACAATTCAAACTAATTATCTTTTAGGTTGTAATTTGGTCTAATTTAGATCGATTAACCTAATAAATCCTTATTTTCAGGTAATGGTTCATCGTTTACCCGAAGTCAGGATGCATGATTGAGACAACCTGAACAACTGGTTGACTACTGGTTTCCTTGCAGTTTCCTTCTTCTCAGATTAGAAAGTTTATTGTTTTAGTGCCGGACAATACTCTTGGTCGTGTCTTGTGTGGAATTCCATAACCGTTCTCAGGGTTAGCATCCTTACAAGTTTGACTCCCCATGGTTGAAGTAGGTATTGGATCAAATACCTCCTGAAACAAAATACATTTTCACTTGGTTCCTACTCTGAAGAGTCCAAGTGCAATATTTTCCATAACAAAAGGAGTTTTTGTATTCTGTGCTTCACAATGGTTGTATTTAAATTTCTATCATGTTTTGTCTGGTGCAAACAGCCAAATTGCATATCGCTCTCTTCACATAGCGTGTTGTTTGGACACTGGGTTACAATGTAACCTGCTTACCTAATGTTTACATTCTTAATTATATTATTTGATAATTAATATCCACCTCATGTGGAACTCTGAATCTGTGACTCATTTTAGAGTCTGCTACTGTCCACCAGAGGTCGCGTTTCGGTCACAGATGCATGCTTTGAGAGCTTTCATGACTGAATGAATGAAACACGCAGTTTTCCACCAAGGCAACCTGCGGTGCTGAAATATAATTGGCTAAACTGTAAGTGGGCTGGTTAAAGGGACTAAAACAAAGACAGATGTTCTAGCATGTAGCACACATTTTCAAAGCAGACTATCTGACTTCAGCATTGTTTTTCAGATGAAAAATGTTTACTTGGCATGTTTCTGAAATATTTGCTAATGTTTTGTGGTATTTTTATGCTTTAGAAGAGTCATAAACGTACATACAGCACCTTTATCTATTAATTTATTTTAAGAAATTTTTCTTTAAGTATGCATCAAAATTTAAATTGTCGTTTACTCACCCTTGACTTGTTCCAAACCAGTTTGATTGTTTTTCTGAATGCTGGAAACTGCTAACCATTAGCATCCATAGTAGGAAAAACGGAAACTAAAATTGAGTAAATGATGACAGTCTTTATTTTTGGGTGAACTACTCCTTTTAAACTTAATTACAAACTTTAATAGTATGATAATCTGTTTAAAATAAAATAAAAAAAACTCCATAGACAAGACTGTGATTGATTACAATAAGAAATACAAATCCTCTTCTTGCTTATGTTCCTGACTTTGATATTGCTACCTCACGTCAAGAGGGCAAGGATTAGACCGTAATCCATATTAATCTGCTCTCAAAAAAAAAATCCTAAGCACATTATTGATTCAGTCCATTTTATATGAGTAGAAAATGTCTATTATTCAAGCTACACCGCTTCATTTCATCAGTATTTGCTTAATTGGATGTATATGGATTCACTCTTTATAGGCACTTAATAATGATTAAACCTGCATGCTGAGTTTTTTGATTATGAATTGTTCAATAGCGATGACTGTCTGTCTGTGTAGGCTGGTAATTACACCTTTAACCGAGCGAAGCTGATGAACGTGGGCTTTCGTGAGGCCATGAGGGATGAGGACTGGGACTGTCTCTTCTTTCATGACGTGGACCTCATTCCAGAGGACGACCGCAACACCTACATCTGCGACGCTCACCCTAAACACGCTGCCATCGCCATGGACAAATTTGGCTACAAGTATGCGTTTAGAGCCAAATGCTACAAACCTGCATTTCATTTGAATTCATTTGCCTGTGATTTACCTGCACATAGGAGTAAGCACATGTGGGAAATGGTACATGTATTTGTGGAGTAAACACACATACATAGAGTAAAATGATCTATAAGCTACTTTTTAATGTATATTGAAACCTAAACTATCAGTTATGTGATCAATTATTAACTACATTTGAGTAGATTTCTAAAGAATACTTGTATATTAGAAACATTTTAAATGTAGCAAAAATAAACCATCACAACAACTAAAGAATGAGTTTACTATAACATTCAAGCCTAAAACTTACTATGACATTCAGTTTGTTTTAGTATTGAAAAATGTTACACATAAATAAATTATTTAAATTATTAATTAAAAATGGTAATTTAGAGCATTTTTGTTAGTTTGTTGGTTTGTTCAGAAAATTACCATTTTTAAAAATAGTAAATCATCATGAAATCTGCATTATTCCAACAAAATTGCATTTCTTAATTTCATTCATTCATTCGTTTATTCATTCATTCATTCATTCATTCAGCAGTTTCTCAAAAAATTAAATCTGTTCTAAATTGTTTAAAAAAGTTATTTAAAACATTTTTTTAGCTTTGTGAAAAATGGACAATATTTCAAAATAGTAAATGTACATGAAAGTCTGGGTTATTCTACTAAAACTGCATTTCATCCATTCATTTTTTTATTTATCATTTTTCTTAAAAATCAAAACCTATTGTAAATTATTAATATTAATAATTATTTTTTCAAAGTAGTAAATGTACATGAAAGTCTGGGTTATTCCAACAAAATTGTATTTCATAACTTTATTTATTCATTCATTCAATTCCTCATTTAGCTTTTTTCTCAAAAATAAAAAAACCTTCCAAATTATTACTAAAATATTATTGTCATTAAGAACATTTTTGTTGGTTTTGTGAAAAATTGACAATTTTTCAAAATAGTAAATGTACATGAAACTCGGGGTTATTCCACAAAAAAAGCATTTCTTAACTTCATTCATTCAATCATTCATTAATTTAGCATTTTTTCACAAATTATTTCTTCTTATTCCACCAAAGGTGCATTTCTCAACTCAATTCATTCATTCATTTAGCATTGTTCTCAAAACTAATTTCTTCTTATTTCACCAAAGGTGCATTTCCTAACTTCGTTCATTCATTCAAAATATGATCCTTTAGAATTTTTAAATTAGTTTTGTGAAAGTATTTTTTTTTTAAAATAGCGAATGTCCATGAAAGTCAGAAGTATTGTTACAAAATTACAAATATTTCTAAACTTCATTCATTCATCAAAACAACCATTCCCAATAATTACTAAAATAATATTGTTTTAAATAAAAAAAATTAATAATTTTTCAAAATAATAAATGTACATGAAAGTCTGGGTTATTCCACCAAAAGTGCATTCATTCGTTCATTCATTCATTTGGCATTTTTCTCAAAAACAAAAACCTGTTCCAACCAGCACAGATATTCAGCACTAATAAAAGCAGTTCCCTGTAACACTAAAATGCCTGAAGTTTTGTGAACACTCAAAAAGCACAAATCAATATGCCACTGAACTAAACTAAAATGATGAATAGCTTGACATTTATATTGTCGTGCCTCTCCTGCCTGTTCCCACTCAGGTTGCCTTATAAGATGTATTTTGGTGGAGTGTCGGCTCTGAGTCCTGATCAATACCTCAAGATGAACGGCTTCCCGAATAATTACTGGGGCTGGGGTGGAGAAGATGACGACATTGGCGTCCGGTGAGCAGCTCTTGTTTATTTGTTTTGTAGGGGTTGAACGAGTGTGTGTGTGTGTCTGTGTGTTAATGGAGGGGTCTGTGTGGGTGGAGATCTGTCCATGAACCACCTGTCTGTTTAAAGCTTTGTCAAGTGTCCACATCTGAAGCTCTGCTGCTGTTTGCTTTATAGGGGCTTGTTTGCCAAGTTTATTTGCTCGTCTGCTCAGCCACATTGCAGAAAATCTAATATTTTTATGCTGTAGTTTAAATACAGTAATAAAATATTGATATTGTGCAAGATGAATTTTAAAATAACAGCTTTCTGCTTTGTTTTGATATTTCGATATCATATTATATATCATCATATATGATATCATTAATTATTTAATATTTATCATCTCATATATCATCATATTTCATAAGTCATATCATATATATTGTATATCAATATCAATTTATATACACACACACACACACACACACACACACACACACACACATATATATATATATATATATATATATATACATACATACATACATACATACATACATACATACATACATACATACATACATACATACATACATACATATACATATATATAACATATAATTTCATATATCAAATATCATCATATGTCATATAGCATATCATATCATAAATCATCATGTATATCATGTCATATATATCTAATGATATATATATGACATATATATATAATGTATTATGATGTTCTGAAATATAATATATTTTGGTTTAGAGCTACTATAAATGTATAAATGTAGTTTTTGACTATGTATTGTTTACCATCACTTATAAGAGTCAGTTTAAAAAAGAGATGCCCAAACTAGGGACCGACTAGGGGCCAAAGTTGGCCCATTGTAACTTTTGATTTAGCCCACCATCCCATCTGAGAATTGTTTAGAGATTGTATTTTAAATTTATTGTAACCTTTTCTTTGTTTATTTTATTGTTAAGCTACAAAAGCATATCCGAAATTAAATGTTATAATATAAATGGTGTAAATTAATCAGATTTTGTTTCAAATATACATACAACAAATAAAGGACCATGCTAAGACTTCAGTGAGCGAATCAAGGCAGATTCTGCTTTACTAGTGTATTCAGCATTGAGCTCAGTGTTATAGATGTGATTGTTTGTTATTGTTGCAATAAGTTATAATTAAAAGAGGTTATTTTGCATTATTTAATACAATTCAAATAAATGTTTTACTTTTTAATATTATGAAATGAATTAGAAAATTACCAGCGGCAACTTTAAAGTAAAATCATCTTCGGCCCAGAGCTATCAATGATATTTGTTTTTTTCACTTTATATGAAAAGGTTTAGACACCCCTGGTGTAAAGAGTCCTAAAACCCTCAATTCAGTTTAAGTTCATCTCAGAATAATGATAAAAAAAATTACTTCTGGGTGTAAAAAGCAGAAGCTAGGACTGGACAGGAGAGAAAGAGGAACTGTCATCCGTCAGTGGCCCATACTGACTTGTAAAACATGAGAAAGTGCACTATTTTTATATTTAAAGAGGGCTTACTTTAAAATTTAGACACACAAATACCCAGTTACCATAGCTTGACCAAATAATGCAGATGTAGTGTCTTCTCATTGGATAAGAACTGAATAATAGTTGATCAGAAGAATGCGCAGTGCAGATGCCCTAATATTGATTTTAAATCTGCAAGTTGAAATTAGGGGGGGAAAGCACAAAATCCAAGTTGTTTCCTACAATTAAAGCTAACAGATTGTCTTTATTGATCTTCAACACTCATAAATCTATTCAAATCTCAGAAAATTAAGTCAGGGGATTCATGACCTTTTAAAGTGGAAGAGAAGCAGTCAGTCAAGTTTACATTATTTTGTAAATTGGTTTCCACTTTAATGAAATATGTTACACAAGCTTGATTAATGTAACCGTTTCGAAAAAAAGACGTGCTTTACTATAGCTTTTAGTGCAAGGGCACCAATATCTTATATAGAATATCACTGTGTCTGAGGTCAAGGGCTGACTAAGTGCTTCACTCCCACTTCAATGCATCCTTGTTGAATAAAAATAATAATTTAATTCAAATATAATAAAAGCCTAAATAAAAATCTTACTGATGATAAACTTTCAAGTGTTCATTTATTTTTGCACTTTTAATAACTTTTTGTGACTCAGAATACAATACCTATTTACCAAAATGTAGAACCTGTATTGAATTACCTAGAATAAATTTAAATAACGCTGTTATTCTGTTGCCAAGTGCTGCTGTGCTGTGGCGACTGGCCTGTTTTTCCAGTTAAATTCTCTCTGGTAAACTGAATGCCAAATATTTTTTCTAATATGTTCTTATACTTTTCAATACCGTTTGTGACTTTTTTGCTCTTCTCAGGGTTTCGCTTGGAGGAATGGTGATCAGCCGACCATCCATCAACGTGGGTCGATATAAGATGATCAAACACAAGCACGACAAAGGCAATGAAGTGAATCCCAAAAGGTAGAATTGCAGTACAAACACTGGTCAATGTTTATTTTAGGTTGTCCTTGTTACAGTGTGCACATTTTAATTTAAGTACTGAGTAATATTGATTAATTAGGATAAGGATTTGGGTTAGTTGTATGTAATTGATTGTCATTTACACAGAACATGAGCAACAAGAACACCATAAAATAAATTGTTAACTAAGCACCTAATAAATTCACAATAATTTCTAAACATTACATTTGAACCAGTGTTTTGCTGAAGAATTTGTGGCTTTGTTTAAATAAATTCATTTACAATTATATTCTCAGTTTTCTTAAGGATAATCAGCCAATTTGGCTTGACTAATTAAGGAAGCATCACTTGCTTATAAATCTTAGTTTCAAGGCTAGTATTAACAGCAGAGGTCAAACTATTACATTCAACTGCTGTTTATTGTTATTAGGGATGCAAGGGTTATAGATTTTAGTGGTATGATTATCGTCTGGGTAATAATCATGGTTATCATGATTATTATGCATTTATTAATTTCAAAACACCAGTTTAGAAAAACACATGAAAACTCCTTGTATTTTAAAGTGCTATTTATTGCTGCTCAGTAATCAAATAATACAGCACTTACTAATAATAATGAAAAACAAATAAGAGTCCATTTCTCTCTTTGGATTTAAAATATAGAATAAAAGTTTTTGGCATTGAACATAAATAATAATTTTACACTGAAAGAAAATGACAGAACAATGGATAAATAAAAAACAACAATAAATAAAACATTTAATTGTCTAATGTAAATCTAAGCTACATATTTGTTAAGTATTTCCCTTTTAAAGAGAACAAAAGTAGTCAAAGGCTGCTAAACCTCTGTCTGAAAGTGTGTGTGTGTGTGTGTGTGTGTGTGTGTGTGTGTGTGTGTGTGTGTGTGTGTGTGTGTGTGTAAAAGAGAGGGAGAGAGAATGGGTGTTTCCCAGTACTGGGTTGCAACTGGAATTTGCTGCGTAAAACATGCTGAAATAGTTGGCGGTTCATTCCGCTGTGGCGACCTCTGACTAAGCCAAAGAAAAATTAATTAATGAACAGTATTTTAAAGATGACATTGTTTCTTGTCAAAAGCAACTAAACACAAAGCTTCTTAGTACAGGTAGGAAGTGTGATGTATTGTGTAAAAGAAACTTTTATTTATGCATCAGCTGAAACGGCACATACTGAAAAGAAAAACTAAATATTGATTTGTTAAAATGAAGGCATATAGAACACTGTATTTGCTTAGAACACACATTTGGGGAACAAATGTGTGTATTTTTACCTAGTAAATAGTAAGTCCACTACAGTATTCTGTTTCTCTGGATTTACCTGAACAGTGTGGAACAATGTAAGTGTAAAATGACATTTGTTCAGACAAAAGAAAAATGTTTTTATTAACCTTCTGGGGTCTAAGGGTGTTTTGGGGCTCTGGAGAAGTTTTGACATGCACTGACATTTGTTTTGTTTTCAGTATCTTAAAAACATATTAATGGCTAAAGTGTGATAACAGTGTAAACAGCACAAGTTGGGCTACAATAATACCTAGCAGAATGTTTGTATGTGTTAATTAAAATTTTGAAGTCACTGAAACAAGGCCATAAAACACACAGAGATCAATTGTGCATTATACTTTTGAGAACTGGAGTGTTTTTTCCTCAAATTGATGTGAGAATCATCTTGTTTACTTGCTCACAGAAAACAATATAATGAATTAATTTCTAAGTCACTTTTTGAGTGAAATTGGTCTATGTAAGAAAGCGTGAACTATCATTACTCTGCATTGAGTCACACCTGAGAAGACAGAGACCTGCATAGTAAGCTGCATAATGAGTTTCAAGAAAGAATCTGAGAAAAAAATAAGTTTTTTTGTTTGCAGTTTATTTAAATATATCTAACTATCACACAAAATAACTCGAGATACACTTGTGAGAGTCTGTACACTGTATAAAACTCTGTAAACTATATAAACTTACACATAGCAAATCTATATCAGCAAGCTGATTACATAAACTACATTCTTAACATTTTTGTGATGTTCACTGATACTAGTACTAATTTACCTAATAAACTCAGTTACCACTGGAATTATAAACTGAATAGCACCTGTTTTGTAAACAAGTTTTTTTTTCACAATAGCTTAGCATATGCATAGTTGATGAAAGAACCAAATGCAAATAACAAAGAAACTATATTTTAACACTGGTAATCACAAATAAGTTTACCATACTCGCATGAAAAACATTATTAGTAATGTATAGTCAATAAGTTGTTTTAAACCATACTATAGTAAAGTACTTGACATAATTTGTTTTATTGGTTTTATAATTTTTTTTATATTCAAACTCTTATTTAAAAGTCATAAATACTTGTCTTTTTTTCCATAGCTGTACATCAGACAGAAAAAACTTCAAAGCAAGAAGCATTCAGTTGGTCAGTGCTTCATGACCAGCTTAAAATCATTGATCACAATTGTGTTGATTTATTATTGAAACTAGTATTTTTCATCCTGTATAAATTCCCAGAACAGCATTAAAAGTGACCACACCTGAACACAAACAAAGGTGAAATGCTGACTTTATCTCCCAGTCTTTCCTCCTTCCTCAAGTCTGTTTCCTCTCCCGCAGGTTTAACATGTTGGCCAAGACCCGTCATACGTGGAAAGAAGACGGCATGAATACAGTGGAGTATGAGATCATATCCCGGGATTACCAACCCCTCTACGCCAACATCACAGTCAACATCGGCACAGAGGCAGGCCTGCACCCGACCAAAAATAAACCAGCTTCCTAACCATCTCCCAGAATTCATGCCCATCCCCTAATGCTGACCACTCTCCCACAATGCACATGGCCAGTGAATCCACAGGACGCCTTTACCGCACCACAGACCTTCAGTTTCCTCTGGTGCCATCTAGTGGTCTCACGATTCTTGTTTCTTTCTCTTCCTCCAAAGTTTCATCCTGTGCTCACTGGTTCACTTTATTAGTCAGGACGCTGCAGAAACTGGGGATCGCTCTGCAGGGAGAGGATGCGTTTTCCTGACGGACAAACTCCTCGTGCGTCCTCCGTGCCCCATCGGCACCATTTATAAACCTCCGTTGCCTTAGAATCAAGCTGCACTCGCTCCTTACATTTCTTTCATGACTATTGAAGCGTCATGGTTGATGTTTCTGGCCGACTTTTAGGAGAGAACCATGTTAGTTTTTCTGCCACACGAATGAAATAGTGAAGCAGGCCGATGTGCTGCATACGCAAACATTGTTTGCTGCACTACTCTGTGAGTCAGTTGCATTTTCTGTGCGGTAAATTAGTGCTTTTGATTACGTACTGTATTGTTTTCCTGATGGGTGAAGTAATGGATATATATTCCATTTTTGAGCAAATCCGTCAGAATTGGCCTCTTTGGTAGTAATAACCACTCTACTTGTACTGAGTTTCTCATCACTTTTTTTTTTTTTCATTCCCGAATTGCCTTTTGGTTGGCTGAGTAATAATATTAGCTTTTATAATCAACACGTTGCCTCTCGTTTTCATGATTTATTCGACACGTTATATTTTGTCTGCATGAGTTTTGTTTTATTGCTTGCGATTGGCTGGTTGTGTGCGGTTCTGTCGTTTGCTTTGGATTAGGAGTGGAGTTGTTGAATGTAGCCCTTTTCTTTCTTTACGGTGAGGAAATGTCATATCAGCACAGAGAGCATCGTGTTGTGGTCGTTGAGTTCAGTCTTCAGGTTTTTTTGTCTCATTCTCATTTGAGTCCAGCATTTTTTTACTAAAAATTAAGAGCCACTTGCACTCATTATTTGAAGTTTATATCTCAGTAAAGTTGAATTCAGTATAAA